ACTGCACGAGGAAGAGGAGGAGGAAAAGGTGGTCGATATCGACGCAACTATTTGAAAACCGAACGTTCGAGCAACGATGATCAATAATTGGAAAACATGATGTCTTCACGACATCACTGTGTCTAGCAATCGATACATGCCTCCGGGAGGGAAGGGGAAACGAGGTAGCAATTAAGGATCATGCCTCCTTCGTAATAGCGCCAGCAACACCAGAAACGGAAAAGAACATTCTACGCAAAGCCACCATTGTAAGCTCACTCACATTCGTGCCTGCTGGACTTCGAGTTAATCGAAACAGCGCTGCGGATAAATCGATAATGAGGAACGTTTATTATCCTGCACAGACACAGCTGATTCGGTCACAGAACTATAAATTAACTTGATAGCGGAAATTCTGCTATCCGATGCTTACACATTCCCTTAAACAATACCAAGCATTGAGGAAAACACCATCAAAGACAGATCAACAGATCATGCCTTGTGTAATGCTTCATTCCTGCTGAGCTATTGCTTGCAAAAGTCTCAGTGCAAGTCAACGGTTTGTTACGGTTACTGATGTTGACATCGGTGACGCCACTTGAAAGTGCGTTAGACTACCCGTCCACCCTCGGCTGACACAATCGACGTTCATCTCGCGGAAAATGCGAGTGTCAGAATATGAGCAGCATCGAAAGCAAGCAACTGGCAGGAGTGAACATGGTGAACGAACCTGAACATCATGACAGAGTACATGAATCATGGATAATATAGCTATGAGTGATATTTCGAAAATCGCATAGCAAACTAAAATTTCGAAACAGAAGTTCGTGAAAGTGACTCAATATCACTGAAGCAATCTATGGCAGAAGTGTAACACCTTCCCATAATGCTTTATTGAGGGAAATCAGAAATCGACGACGTACCCGTTGCGCACTATATTCAAATCAATCAATCAGTTGAAAGAGTTACTGCTTAAATTAGCGAAAACAGCAGGCAAACTAGCAAAACTTGATTAACACAGGTACATGCTCAAGAACAAATGCAATATACAATAACGATAAGGTATAAAAAATAATAAAGAAAACATGGATTCATGGGTACAATTTTCAAGCAGAAGAATATTTAAATGTATGAATTAGTATGAGTGGATTGGATCCAAGAGATTAAGCCATTCTTGTTTCTCGTTCAGCAGATTCTGAGCCGCCCGAGGGATAGCAGATCTGATTTATGCCCCAGTTTACCCCTTGATGCAGACATATTGGGATTTTGAAGGTCACGGATCAACTAAAAGTGAATTCTGGAACAGTCTGGTGCAGGGGATACAGAGAATCGGTGAGAACAGGTTTATCAAACTTTACAATAGATCTTACAATCTAGTCTACAACGACGTTTATGACACAGGACACAGGACAGCTCATTTGTTCTGCTGACGATTGAACAATAAAGCTAATCGCAAGTTTCGTAGTTCCACTGTAATGAAACGAAGTATCCAAGTTTTTTTAGTTATCAGTTCCTTGATTCCATAGGGATATGTAATGAGGTCAGACGTTTAAAAAAAACAGCTACGCCATTGTACTTCGACGACTATCTTCTTAGGGTATGCGCTGAAGTGCAGACGTTCGTTGATGATGAAACCAACAGAGTTTACACTGGTAACCATGTCTGTTTTTTAGTTCTACAGCAAGGTAGGGAAGACGATAACAGTTTGTCACTGTAGTTCAGAAACAGTCTTTTTTTT